CTCCAATGAAGGCATCACTTTAACAGGTAAAGGATTTGCTAAAATTGATTTAACTAGTAGATTCTGAATCTAGAAGGAAGACCTTTCTTTTATCATTCTGCCTTTCTGCCTGCCACACATTATTTTTTTTTTGCAACAGGGACATTCTGCCTATACCTGAAGCCCTAGGAGAACAGAGGTAAACTTGAAGCATGTGCAGACAAAATAAATTATGGATCTTGATCCGTGAGGACCTCAATGACCATGTTCATGCTAATGATCCGCTGTATAATTGAATTTCAGTTACTATTTTTCCTCAATATTATCTCACCCTGTATGCTGACCTTTGCAAAAAACTCAAGTTGGAAGATGCAAATTCAGATTACAAGCCATCACCTGCTACCTGCCACCTCTCTGGCTCTCCTACAAACCAGCTCATCCATGCAACAGGTCACACAGCCCCATGGGCAGGGCCCACACCATCAGCAGGAAAGGCTTTGCTAACGATGGCCTAAAGGGAGGAGCAGCTCTGGCATCAGAGCCCTACGTATGATTTAGCCTATAAACACATGGCTGCTGGGAGCTTCTATTAAGCCACCACATTGGGCAGGTCCTGAAAGAGAAGAACAGAGCAGCCTCATCAAAGGGAACCTTCTATGCACCCAGGGCAATGCTGGGTATTCACAGGTATACAGGCGCCTGGATCTCCACCTGAACAACAGCTTCCCTCCACGGTAGCTTTCCCACGGTTAGGTTAGGACCAAATATCCCTGCAGGCAACCCATTTATTGCTCCCATACTCTGAAGAATAATAAAACCAGCTGCTGGCTGGAGTCTGCCAAGGCTACCTCCCAGGAGAGCTTCTCTGAAGGTTAGTGTGGAGCTGTCATGCACAGCCAGATTTTCACTTAGGCTTTTGTTGTTCCTCCTGCACTTGTTTCCCTGCTCTGGCTGTGTCCAGCAGCTTCCCAGTGCCTACTAGGTGGTGATGCCAGCAGAGACCAGGCTGTGTGCCTGGAGCAAAAAGGACCATCAGTATGGATTGGCTTCCAGCTGAAGTGGGCCCACCCAGCAATCCAAAGAGGTGGGAAGAATGGTGTTAACAGCAAGCTAGCACTTCATGAGAGCTTGGATTACTGTTCAATGCATTCTGATAAGCACCATCTGCTGCCAATCCACACTGGGCATATGTCTCTTTGCCCCAGCACTGCACTGTGGCTAGAAATTCATCACAAAGCATGCAAAGACCTTACAGAGAGGAGATAAATGCTGTAGACAATCTCCAAGCATATTTGGGAGCAAGGGAAGACAGATGGAAAAAAACGTTCTGCAAATATAGACCCACAAAATATGGCAGGGACAAACACTGCCTGAGACATTCGGCAATATCCAATCTGCCATATGACACCAGACTATAAAAGTGACCAGAGGAAGTTTCTGCATCAGCTGATGCCTTAGCTAAATCTATTGCATAAACTGCTTCTTTTGTTTCTGTACGGTATGTTTAATGCTCTAATTCCCATTCAACTATGAGTACCCGTTCATCCTAAATCCCTCTTTTTTTTTTTTTTTTTTGGTTAAGAACAATCAGTTTTGCACCTCTGTGTATTAATCATCAGCACTAAGAATCAGTTTTCTTTTGGGAACCACAAGTGTCTGTCACCCATAAGAGATGCTGAGGCACAACGGCCCATCAAGATGGCCATGCCCAACCATCTGCTGGATTCACTGGCTAAGGGAATTGTTCCTACTGTCCTTCTAAGCAGTCAGCAAGTGATAAAGGAGGGCCTACTGTGTGCTTGGCCAACCACTGGATTGCCCAGAAAATGTATATGTATCAGGCAAAAAGGCGGGGAACCAGACATATTTTTTTTTTTTTTTTGAGACGGAGTTTCGCTCTTGATACCCAGGCTGGAGTGCAATGGCGCGATCTCGGCTCACCGCAACCTCCACCTCCTGGGTTCGGGCAATTCTCCTGCCTCAGCCTCCTGAGTAGCTGGGATTACAGGCACGCGCCACCATGCCCAGCTAATTTTTTGTAGTTTTAGTAGAGACGAGGTTTCACCATGTTGACCAGGATGGTCTCGATCTCTTGACCTCGTGATCCACCCGCCTCAGCCTCCCAAAGTGCTGGGATTACAGGCTTGAGCCACCGCGCCCGGCCCAGACATATTTCTTAAAAAAAAATTTTTTTGAATTACATTTTATAAAAAGAGCATTATAATAAGGAAGAAGAGAAACAAAGTATGAGGTCTCACATTACCAGATTTCATGACTGCTATAAAGGCTGTGATTAATAAAGACAGCATGCTTGTGGAAAAAAAAAAAAAAACCCACCAGATAAATGGAACAGAATAAAGGACAGAGATACAGCCAACTGATTTTTCTGTAAAGGCACAAAGGCAAGGAAAGGATCATCTTTTCAATAAATGATGTTGGAATAATTGGATACTCAATGCAAAAGAATGGACCTAGTCAGAGACCTTCTAACTTACACAAAAATTAACTCAAAATGGATGACAGGTCTAACTGTAAATTACTAATCTATAAAATATCTAGAAGAAAACATGAGGAAAAATCTAGATAATCTTGAGTTTGGTGGTGAACCAAAATCACAACCTATAAAAGAAAAAAAAAGATAAGTTGGACTTTATTAAAATTAAAACTTATACTCTGTGAATGACACTGTTAAGAGAACCAAAAAAACAAGCCACAGCCTCAACAAAAATATCTGCAAAACACATTGCTGATAGAAGACTTGTATCCAAAATACAAATGCTCTTAAAATTCAACAAGAGCATAAACAACCCAATTTTAAAAATACACAAAACATGGGAACAAACATTTCACCACATATGATAGAAAATAAACATATGAAAAGCTTATGAACATCATTTTTCATAGGGAAATGTAAATTAAAACAGTAATACCATACTAACACATGCCTATTATAGTGTCTAAAATCCAGAACAACTGACAATACCAATTGCTGGCAATGATGCAAAGCAACAGAAACTTTCATTTATTGCTGTTGGAAATGCAAAATGTTACAGCCACTTTGCAAGACAGTTTTTCCATTTCTTATAAAACTAAATATCATATATACAAGTTAGCAATAGCACTCCTCAGTTATTTACCCAACTGATTTGAAAAATTATGGAAACACAAAAAGTTGAACTCAAATGTTTATATCAGCTTTATTCATAATCACCAAAAACTGGAAGCAACCAAGATGCCCTTCAATATGTGAATAGATAAACAAACTATGAAACATCCATACAATGAAATACTATTCAGTGATAAAAAATAAGTTAGCTACCAAATTACAAAAAGACCTAGAAAAATCTTAAATGAATATTGCAAAGTGAAAGAAGCCAGTATAAAAAGGCTATGTAAAGCACAGTTCCATTTATATGACATTCTGGAAAAAGCAAAAATGTACAGAAGGTAAACAGACTAGTGGTTCCCAGGGTTTTGAGGTAGGAAAAGAGAAGTATTAGAAAAGATGAAGCACAAAGAATATTTTTAGAGTGATAGAACTATTCGTTATGATACAATAAGGGCAGATACATGACATTATGAATTAGCAAGTACCTACAGAACTTTACAGCACAAAGTGAACCTTAATGTATGCAAATTTAAAAAAAAAAACATTTAGGAGGCTAGGGGATCCTAGGATGCAATGCAGAATGTGACACAATAATCTAAATGTATTATAAAGGTGCTCACCTTATAGCTTTGGAAATGAGTGAAGGTTATAAGCAAACAGATTAAACATAAGCCCTATAGTTGATAAAGTTGTTTCCCATGGAAATGGGGGTTAATAATTTTGATACCAAAATTGAAGAATTAAGTGAATGGATGGTGGATGGTGGTAGCCAAGTTTCCCATTGTTTGAAAATTACAGATAAGCAAGGGAGGAAGCTGTAATGATCCATATGATAATGAGCTGGATACATCAGCATAAACTTGTATTTAGCTTAATACATATGGATACATATAGAATAATTTATAAATGTATGTACATATATATATACACACATATATACACACATTCGCACATGCACACACATACACACACACGCACACACACGGATTAGTATACACATATATAGTCCCATGCTTTGGCAAATGAGAGTGCAGAGCAACAACAACATTCCAGAAGTAGTGAGCACACTGAGTGCTGGGATCTTGATTTCTAATTCCATTCTGCAATAAAAAGAACTAGGTCTGATTGTGCAAGTGGCTGATTCTATGGCTGGGGTACAAAATATACAAGATGAGCCTGGAATATTTTATAGTGCCAGAAATTAAAGAAGTGTTCAAGAGTAGGTAAATAAAATAAATCACAGTGAAAGTATGTCAAAAGGACACAAGACCAACAGAAAGAGTGCCAAATGGCCAAAGCTGGAACAATTTGAAACGTAAAATCTTAGTATTGGATTAATTCAATAGTTAGTAATGGATTATAACCTCAAGTATAAAATATATATCCATGAGTCCACATTTATATAAATATTAATACATGCCTTAAGAAATAAATAAATGTGGTAAAAGAGATAAATCTCTCATGCAAAAACATTTCAGATAATTTATGTAGACACTCCACCCTGAAGCATCTACATAAGGAGATGGAGCATTAAATACCTACTCCTTAAGTGTGGGCTGTGCATAGTAACTTCTTCCAAAGAGTATGGTATAGAAATGGAGTAAAATGAGTACCCTTGTAGTGGAGAAGCCTGACAAACACTACCTCAGCCAGGTGATCAAGGTTTGCATCAACAGTGATAAGGCATATAGATAAGCATGTACCCTTGACTTCATAGGATGACAATGACACTTGTCCTGATTCCTCTGTGGATTTTGGGGGTTCTTCTCCAAACCGATAACCTCACTTTCATCATTAGACCAATATGAAACAAATCCTAATTGAGGGACATTTTAGAAAATAGCTGACCAGTACTCAAAACTTTCAAGGTCATCAAAAACAAGGAAAATATTAGAAAAGCCTATTGCATGATGACTAAATGAAATACGGTATCCTGGATGAGATCCTGAAACAAAGGAAATTCGGTAAAAACTAAGGAAGTAGGAATTAAAATAAGGACTTTAGTTGATTATAATGTATGGATATTTGTTTGTTAATTGTGACAGATGTACCATGCCAATGTAAGATGTTAATAACAGAGAAAAATCGGTGCAGGGTATCTAGGATTCTCTCTACTATCTTTGCAATATTTCTATAAATCTAAAAATTTTCTGAAATAAAGACCATGTGAAACAATAAACATTAAAGTAATGACTTTGGGACATAGTTGAGCTTTATTGGACACCAGTTGAAGAACAGGAGGGGAACACAATGTCCTAAGCATGAAGAATGACCAGGAATTGACCAAGCCAGGAAAGTAAGGAGAGTTCTAAGTGATGCACCAGGAGTTCACTAGACCAATCATAGAAGGACAATCTGTGCAAAGGCCTTCACAGCCCTGATTCCCATTTATGCCCCAGCAACATCGAAAATTACCTTACCAGGGGCTTCTTAGCAAAGTATTATTCACTTTATTCCGAAAGTTTTAACCAAAGCATTAAGACACACACACAAAGGAAATGTAACATACATATAGATAATAGAATTAAGTATTTAAAAGTCCAGGTATAAGAGTAAGAATAATCTGAGTTCAAATCTTGGCTCTGCCATGTTCCAGATTGGTGACTTGGGGGAATCTGAATATTAAAAGGTGTGTTTCCTGTGTTAAAAATGGGGATCATAGTGCCTCCCATCACTGGGCTTTCAGGACTATTACATAGAAACATACATAAGGTACAGAGTGTTTAGCAATAGTGAGACATAAATAAATGACTGTTTCTTAAAATTTACTTTGGAGAGGACGATAAAAATGCCCATTATCTGCAGATGATATCATTTTCTAAAGAAAATCCAAAATGATAAACCAAAAACTATCAGAATCAAGGTTTCCTATTTGAAAGAGACATTTTAACAAAAATGGAAAACAGATTTCATTCACAAAAAGCAATCATAAACATTGACTCTCTAGTCAGAAATGTAATGAGAAATACTCCCATATTCTGAAAGAAAACTGCAGACGTTTTCCAAGGAGGCTGCAGAGAGATGTGCCACATTTCCAGATGGAACAACTTAACTCTGAAGTTATCAATTCTTCTCAAATTACTTTGTAAATCCAATCTAAATATCACTTCTTTAAAGTTTTCAAAATGATTTTGAATATCGGAGAGAATAGATAAGAATATTCATGAAAAAGAGAGTAACTTGTTAGATGAAAGATGAATTATTGAGTAAAAATCATTTTTAAAGTGGCTATTCAAAACACACACACAAAAACTATAGTTTCAGTTCTCATATTATACCCCAAAAAGTATTAGATTATTAGTAATACTTTGCCAACTACAAGTTGTAATCCGTGAACGGGTGCCTCAAAAAATCTTTCTAAAACATGAGGTATGATGGCAGAGAAAAGAAAATAGGGCATGTCTTATAGAGTAAAGGCACTGCCTGGTGAAAGCTCAGAGTGCTAGCTTACCACAGAAATGATTTCTTTCTGTTTGAATGCCACTGGCCTAATGCATCAAACATGAAAAATTCAAGCCATGACAGAACAAAATGAAAACATAGGTGAAATTTTATCTGGTCTCAGAGTAAGAGAGAGATTTCTAAACATACATCAATGCCAGAAATTCTTAAAGAATAGAATGATGGACCTGACTAGATAAAAACCTCAAAATCGGAAAGCACTGTTAAAGACAAATGACACATTGGGGGAAAAGTGAACTATATATGAGGAATTCATATCAAATTAAGGATATAAAAGAATCACCTGATTTTAAAAACCAGCGTTCTAAAAGGGAAATCATAGAGGATGTGGGTCATTTAAAAAATAATTACAAATAGCATGCACACACATATACACACACCTTAAACCCGCAGGATAATCAAAGAAGGAAGAAATCAAAATGCATCAGAGTCAGGTAATTGTCTCCCAAGATCCATTCTTCTGCCTAGTAATAAGAACCCTGGTTTTCGGCTGGCTTACTGCTTTCAACCTGAAAACTCTATATTCCCCAGCATCTAGGAAGGACCATGTGACTGTACGCAGACTAAATTCAGACTGAGTTGGCCATTGAGATGAAAGCAGAATTTTATCCAAATTCACAGAGGTCTGCTTGAAAGAAAGGGGTGCTGTTCTTTGCTCTTCAATCTTTCCCACTGACTGCATTAAAGTTGGAATGGCTGGAGCTCTAGCAGACATCTTGGACCACGAGGCAGACTTGTTTAAGCAACAAGAGCGGAGCCTGGTTCCCTCATGATTGAGGTTGCTTCATACCAGTCCTAGACTTCCTACTACTTGACTTATTTTATGTGAAAGTGAAATAGACCCTCTTTTGTTTAAACTACTGTTATTTGGGTGCTGGAGTGTCAATCACATGCTGTTAAACCAAATCCCAGCTAAGAAAGCTACCTTTTTCTTAACCCACAAAGTGGAAAAATTCCTTTAAAAATTATAGTATCCAAAGATGATAGGGGTCCTCTGAATAGGCATTTCTATACATCACTTGTGACACATCTCTTCTAAAAGAATTTCTGCCAGTATGTAACAAAAGACTTAAAGTATACAGACCATTTTACCCAGAAATTCTGCTAAAAATCCATCCTACGAAAATAAATAAGATGTACACAAAATTAATATACATTGTTGTTCATCAAAGCAGTATCTATAATAACTAAAAATTAGAGAAGCTAAATGTTCAATAATAAAGGACTAGCTACAATAATTATAGAAGTTTTACAGAACTGAACACCATGCAGCCATTAAAAATCAAGTTTTAAAAGAATAATTGATGATATAGGAATATTATAAAGTATTACTAAGCTAATGGTAAAGATTTTTAAATAGTATTATATTATATTCAGTTTGGGAGACTGGGTAATTTTAAAAATTTTATTCATTGTATTTTGCAGTATTTTTACGTGTTCTATAATAAATATGCATAATTCCAATGTTATTTTAATGCTCATTTTAAATAAACCCTGTCTCCTTGTCTCCTGTCTTCCATCACATACCTGTCTTCTCCAGTTGGGTGGTTCCCTCAGGCACAGGGTGTTCTGGTCCAGCATGCCTTGCAGGTTGGTACCATGGAATAATTTTTCTGCTCCCTTGTCAGTCTTTACAAGGGATGAGAAACACATGATTTATAACCATAGGTCAAATATTCTCACTCCAGGCCATTCTAAACCCTTTAGCTAGTTCTAGGAACTGCATGCTCTTGAGACAGAGTATCCCATAACCTCTGAGCCACACTGTGATGTCCCTTAGCTGCTGCTCATGGACAAGGAGGTAACAAACCAAGGTGCACAGGGTGCCAGAGGGCAAAGTAGTCAGTTATGGTTATCACAGAAAGCCAACAGGGAAAGCAACCCAGAGAGTTTAGACGCCAACTTGAATCAGAAGTCTTAGGGTAAACTAGAGATGGCTCCTGAGGCCATCTCTCGTCTCCTCCATCCCTAGATACCAAGTTGCCATTGTTCCTGACACCTTGGCAACTTCTGTCCTCACACCAATATTGCCTTTAAAAGGGATGTGCTCTATGTCCATTAGAAAATGTGTTTAGCTACAAATAAGAAAGCTTAGTTAACAGTGGCATAAATTCATGGGGATTTACTTTGTGACACAAGCAATCAGAAGAAAGGCAGTCACAGCGTTGCTTCAGCTACTCCACAGTGCCACTGGGGTCCCAGGTTCTTTCTGGGCTTCTGCTCTGTCATCCTTAATGGGTGGGGGTTGGGTTTGAAGCCTTAGGCTTGGCATCTTTTGGCTACAAAAGGGCTGCTGCAATTTCACTCACACTTCTGCAAGGATAAAACACAGCACAAGCTCTGCCTGTCACTCTTATAAAAGCAAAAGCTTTCTTAGAAATCTCTAGAAGACTTTACTTGCATTTCATGGGCCAGAACTGAATCACAGGGCCACACCCTCAGCTGGAAGAGACTGGGAAAGAAAGAAGGCAGGTGAGCTTATTCTTCCACAAATAAAACCAGAATCAAATGGCTACGGGCTAGACAACTAACTGTCTGCTACATGCAAGACTAATTCTAGAATTCCAAGGTCTTTTGGAAGGCCAGTATTGTCAAACTGTACAAAGAGCAGATCCATGTTAATGGGGTATATGTGTGGGTGGGTGTGCACAGGGTAAAAAAAAGAAGCAAAATGATATTCATTGAGCCCCTTTTAGAACCAGCGACTTTCATAATTATCTCAATTAATTTGTTTCATTCTGATAATAACCTCTCAAGATAGGCCTCTTTGTTTTTACAGATGAGAAAACTGAGACTCAGAGAAGTAGCTTGTTCAAAGCCACAGAGCTAGCAAGTTCTGGGGCTAGAATTCAACTTCACAACTGCCTGGTTCCACAGGCAATGCATTTTCTAGTGTACAACACTCCTCTCAACAAGCCTCATCGTATATAATTGAAGGCAAATAATAGAGAAGTGCAAACAAGTTTGTGTAAGCCTTGAATACAGAGTTAGGCTCATGGAAGGTCAGGGGAACAGGAGCCTTTCTGTAGAAGATAGAAAGCAAAGGCAGCACATGTGCCAGAGGCCACACTGTGATGTCCCTTAGCTGCTGCTCGTAGACAAGGAGGCAACAAACCAGATGCACAGGGCCCCAGGGGGCAAAGCAGTCAGGGTGGTTATCACAGAAAGCCAACAAGGAAAGCCACCCAGAGAGTTTAGATGCCAACTTGAATCCAAAGTCTTGGAGTAAACCAAGAAGATCAGTCTCCACCATACGTATATTAAACAACTGATAACAGACAGGAAGTAGAAGCACACTAAATTTAATCTAGCTAATTATTAAGTATTGATCTAATTAAATGCATAACAGATATATTACAAATTAATATTTACACTCAGTGGTGACCATACATTCGGCAGACCCTATGCTGGGGACATAAAGTTAAATTAGACATAATCCCTGCTTCCAAGGAGGTCACAGTCTAATGAGTATAAAATGCCAGCACATAAGGTCCAAAATGTAATAGAATCACCCGTATTTTTAAGTAGGCTTCCTGTCTCAACCACATGAAATGACGCCTCGCTCTTCTGACCACAGAGACTACAATGGTAGTATGTCAAAATTATAGAAACGTACTCAGAAAGTG